TCAGCCTCCTGAGTAGCTGGGACTACAGGCGTGCGCCACCATGCCCAGCTAATTTTTGTATTTTTAGTAGAGACAGGGTTTCACCATGTTGACCAGGATTGTCTCGATCTCTTGACCTCGTGATCCACCCGTCTCGGCCTCCCAAAGTGCTGGGATTACAGGCGTGAGCCACCGCGCCCGGCCGACATTGCGTTTTTGTATCACTGGGAAATGAATTCCACCTCAATACATTTTCTGCACACTCGGGGAAAGAGACCCAGAGAACAGGGACTCTCGGCCCAGATCTGTGCTCACTGACAAGTACCCACAGCCCAGTGCTCCTCGCACAGGCAGCCAGAAAACTCAGCTACGGACTGTTCTCCCAAATCTGTGGGTGAGCCAACCAATGTGTCGTGACTGCTCTGTCCTAACGGCTGCCAAAAGCGGAGACGCCCGTTACCAGGCAAAGGAGGTGTGCAGGCACGCCCACAAGTTGTCATCACTTGTCAGTGACGTCAGCGAGCGGGCGGCATTGCCATTCCTCTGGTGCAGGAATGGTGTGAAGGCTGTGTTCATCCTCTGCGCACGCTGTGGGCATCCAAACTGCTCTGCCTCAAACACCTGAAATGCAAAGGGAAGGGATGGCGTCTTTAACTAAGCCAAAGGTGCCAACAGCCTGGACCCCTACTCGTTCATAGCCAACCCCAGGACCTGGCTCCTGGACACAGTCCCTCTGTACTCTCTCCATGCAGAACACTCAAAAGTGCCACCAGTCGAATCATTCCCAACAGCATGGCTCTGCCCCCACCCCAGCCAGATCAGGAGCCACATGAGAACAGGAATTGGCTGAATTTCACCTGTCCCCTTCCTAACAAGCAACCCGAGGCACCCAGGGGGATTCTCATGAGTGGCCATCTGTGCTGCTGCCCACCTGTCTCGACCTCCCCTTCCAGGTGCACTGCTCAGACCCTTGGCTGAGGGACACGTGACTGGCTCTGGCCAACAAGCCGAGAGAAACAAGGCACCCCAGCACCCTCTGTGCTTCTGGAGGGCAGAAGGAGCAACACTTCCACACAGCTGCCACTCTGCCTGCCAGGATGACCACAGCAAGCAGAGAGAGCCCTGCTCTCGCGTAATGCACACAGCATGACAAGAAACAGGCCCTATGGCTTGAAGGTGCTGTGCTGAAAACTGGGGGCTGTTTGTTACCAGGCACAGCCTAGCCTGGCCTGGCCTGGCCTGAGCCTCAACTCCACAGCTGGAGGTTTACATTCGGTGGTGCAGCTCAACGGGATTAATGGACGTCCATGGGATGAAGGCCAGAGGAAGCAAAGACAGCAGGGAGGAAACTAGGGGTCTGACTGCAGCAAAGACACCAGAGCTGAAGAAGAACCAGGACAGTGCGGGCAGGAGAGACCAGTAAAGCAGGCAGAAGGGATTGGGAGGTGCTTTACCATGACCTCCACCCCTGAAGCCAAGAGACTACAATTCACACGGTGCAGTGGACGCAGGCGGAGGGGAATAAGCTCCCGGGTTCCAGGCTTCAGCCTCAGCCCAGAGCAACTGCTGCAGTGCAGGGCCCGCGCCACCCTGCCACCCCGTCTCTGAATTCACCTTGAGCGCCTTGCCCTGGAGCTCGTCGATGATTCCCCGGACCTTCCCCAGCAGGAAGGGCCAGGAGTTGATGAGGTAGATCCGGTCCATCATGATGGTGATGACACTGTACCAGCGCTGGAAGCCCCTGGCCAGGCTGTCCTTGATGAAGAAGGTATGGCTGAACACAAAGCCATGCTGCTCATCTCCAAAGAAGATGGGGCCTTCGCGGCCAGGGCAGACCTGGCGGGAACACCAGCGACTCAGAGACATCCCTTTCCACGCTTAGCGACACCAAATCGAAGCCTCCTCTTCAGACTTTTCAGAGTGCACTGGCACAAATCAGCCAGCGTTAATAACAGGGGCGAGTGGCAGAGTGGGGGCCGTAAGAGCCAAGGACTCTGCACCCTTCTGCTCCTGTGATCAAGCTTCCAACAACACTTGTCATCGTGGACCGTAAGGGCCGGTAACAAGGTTCACTGCTTTTTTTCCACCTTGAGCCACAAATAACTCCCATGCATGTGTCACACTTCTCCCAGACTCAAATGCACCAACTTACTCACCCAGAGCATGCAGAAGAACCAGCAGGTCAGAGCAGCCACTGAACTCTCCCTGCACTGAAATCCGCACATTTTATTCTTTTTATTGTTTTCTGAGATGGAGTCTTGCTCTGTCTCCCAGGCTGGAGTGCAATGGCACAATCTCAGCTCACTGCAACCTCTGCCTCCTGGGTTCAAGCAATTCAGCCTACCAAGTAGCTGGGATTACAGGTGCTGCCACCGCACCCACCTAATTTTTGTATTTTTTAGTAAAGATGGGATTTTGCGGCCGGGCGCGGTGGCTCACACCTGTAATCCCAGCACTTTGGGAGTCCGAGGCGGGTGGATCACAAGGTCAAGAGATCGAGACCATCCTGGTCAACATGGTGAAACCCCGTCTCTGCTAAAAATACAAAACATTAGCTGGGCATGGTGGCGCGTGCCTGTAATGCCAGCTACTCAGGAGGTTGAGGCAGGAGAATTGCCTGAACCCAGGAGGCGGA